TCATTTTTTTAAAGGAAAGATTTATATGCTTATTTGCAACAGCATTACACACACACACACACACACACACACACACACACACACACACACACACACACACAGATCTTCTATGTGCTGATTTCCATCAACCCTCCTTCACCCCTTTCCCAGAATGGCCACAATAGCCATGGCTGGATCTGGCTGAAGTCATGAGTGTACAACTCTGTGTATCTCACACATGGCTCTCAGAGACCCAAGTGGCTGTGTCATCTTCTGGCTGGCTTCCCAGGTGCATTTGCAGGTAGCTGGATTGGAATGAGCAATCCAATACGGGATGACAGTGTTGCAAGTGGCATTTTAACGTGCTGCACCACAATGCCAGCTTTTGAACTCTGTATCTTTAGCAGTTTGTTCAGAGTCAAATTCAAGGCTATGGCCTCAGGTGTTCTTTAAGCTAAGAACTGGAACTAACAGTTCTTCTGTCTTTGTATATCTAGCACCTTCAGCAGTGTCTGGACTGTAGAGTGGATAAGTGTGGTTAAGAAAAGGCTATTTTTGCTTGACAACCTTTGTTAATATATTACAGAATCATAATCTTGGAATGAACCTGCCAAGTCATTTAGCAAAGTCAGGCAGTTCATGAATCAGTGTAATAACATCTCTGACAAATCTTCCTTTTGTGTTGCCGTGGATTTGTCCTGTAACTATAGAATGACCTTGTATCCCAGAGTTATCTCTAGGATAACTCTGAAATATTGTAGGGCATGGAAGCAGAGAAAACAAAGAATTAGTGGAGGATTAGTGACTAAGTTATTGGTTGGAAATCGTGGAATTGAAGTCTAGGTTAACTGGAAAATCATTACTGTAGTAATCAAACAAGAGTTTTGTACACTGGAGTTGCTTTTGTAAAATCTCAGACTTTAATCTTCATCCACAGAGGATGGGACTGTGGGGAGAGAGGGGGCAACTCAGTTGCATATGACAGCTCCTTAACCTTCCACACATTCCACGGTGGTGCAGGGTGTGACCCTAAATAACATTCCTGTCTCTCTCTTTCTCCATCCTTGGCTGCAGACTACTACTTTAGAAGGTTGGGAGCATCAGATGAAGGTATCTCCTTTCTTTTCGTATTGATAAGTCTGAACCCCTTCCTTCATTATTTATTTAGTGTTAAGTGTATCCCAAGCATAAGTCCAAGGATTGTAGATATATCAATGGGCAAAACAAAGATCCCGATCCCTGCTCTTCTAGATCCATGCTTATTGTAGCGCTAACAAAAATGTAGCAAGAATCACAAGTTCAACTTTTCTGATAACCACATTTACAAAGAAAATGCAGATAAAATAGCAATGAATACATTAGTACATATGTAATAATATTACCATTATAATATGAGATAATGTTTAATACCAATTTAAATATGTTAAATGCTAACATATTTTGTAATATACCAGGTACTAATACAATCAACATATTAACATAAAATACTTGAAGAGTAGTAAGGATAAAAATTACAAGAAAGATCTTTTATTCCTTGTTGTATTGTTTTGATGTTTGGTATATAATATTCATGCATGTCTCAGTTTAGACTGCATATACTTGGTTCTGTTGAATAGCTTTGACACACTTGTTCAAATCATTTAATCATATATGTGAGGGTTATTTTTGGGTTCCACATTTGTTCCATTTGTCTACATGTCTCCTATATGCTGGTGTCACCCTTTTGCGATTTGTAGTAGGTTTTGAAATTAGGACATATTAGAACTCTAGCTTTGTTTTCCCCAAGGTTGTTTTGGTTATTTGAGCCTTCTTGAGTTTCATATGAATTTTAGGTTGAGTTTTTAAAATTTCTCCAACACACCATTGGGGTTTTGGTAGAGATTGCGTTGTAGCTTTTGGTAACATGAATTTCTTAACAGTAAGTCTTCCTACCCATGCATATGGATATGTTTCCATTTATTTATGTCTGATTTGTACCTTCTTTTTAGGATTGTTCATCATTAGTGTATAGAAATATGTCGGCTTTGGATCTTGTTGTTTTATTAAATTCATTAATTCTGGCAATTTTTTTGATAAAATGTTGAACTTATTACACATATAATCATGTTAATAGTTTTCTTTCTTTCTACTGTAGATACCTTGTTTTTTTTTTGCTTTTCTTGCTTAATGGACTGGAAAGTTCTGGCTGGAACCTTTATTTCTTTGTTAAATAGAAGGGTAAAAGTGGCCATTTTTGTCTTTCTGATCTTTCAGAAATTTTAGAAAATATTTAGTTACTTGAAAGAGTTACTGAGAGAGAGAGAAGGTGAGAAAGATACAAATCTTCCATTTGTTGGTTCACTCTGCAATGGACAGAGCTGAGCTGATGTGAAGTCAGGCACCAGGAACTTTTTCCAGGTCTCCCACATGGGTGCAGGGGTCCATGGAGTTGAGCCATCTTCCACTACTTTCTCAGGCCATTAGCAGGGAGAAGGACTGGGAGTGGAAGAGCTGGGACACAAACCAATACCTATATGGGATGTAAGCACTGCACATGGCAACTTTACCTCAGTACCAGCCCCCTTTTCTGTTCTTAGAAGAAAAGCTTCCATTCTGTTACCATTGATTATGGCTGTGTGTGTGTGTGTGTGTGTGTGTGTGTGTGTGTGTGTGTGTGTGTGTGGTTTTATGTAGAGAGCATGGTTTCCCCAGTTTATTGTGAAAATTTTCTGTGGTTTTAATTATGAAGGGGGTGATTAGTAAGGTGCTTTTTGAAAATTTGTTTTTTCTTATTCATTTTCATCTTATTGGAAGAGCAGAAAAGAGAGAGAGAGAGAGACAGGGAGGGAGGCAAACACAGAGATCTTCCATCTTTCAATCTTCCATCTTGACTCTGATGATGCTTATAGCTGCTGGACGGGGCCAGGTTGAAGCCAGGAGCTAGGATTTCAATCTAGATTTCTCATGTCAGTGGAGCCTAGGTACTTAAATGATCATCTGTTCCTCTCAGCATTCATGTTTTCAAGAGGGCAGAAGGAGGTGGATGAGCTGGGACTCAGACCAGGTATTCTAAAATGGAATGTAAACAGACCTAGCAGTGACTAATTAATTTACCAAATGTCTGCTGCAAGTAAAAAGATTTTTTTCCATCAGTTGAGATGATCTTGTAGTTTCTTTTCTTTGTTATCTTACCATGATAAATTACATTTTTAATATTTTTGTGAATTGAACCATCATTATATTCCAGGTATAAATTAGCTTAGTCATGATGAGCAATCTTTTTAATATCCTGTTCAATCAGGGTTGAAATATTTTGTTGAAGATTTTTTCATCAGTATTAAAGGATTTTGGTCTATACTTTTTTATATTTAAATATTTATATATTTATTTGAAAGAACCATAGAGAGGGACAGGCAGAGGCGGGGAGAGAAGAAAAAGAAAGAGCGAGAAAGAGCTTTTATTCACTGGTTTACTCCCCAAATGGCTGTAATGGACAGAGTTGGGCTATGCTGTAACTAGGAGCCAGAATCTTCTTCCAGGTTTCCCACATAGGTGCTGAGACCCAAAGACTTGAACTGTCTTGCACAGGCACATTAGCATGGAAGTTGATAGGAAATGGAACATCTGAAACTCCACCTGGTGCCTTCTGAGATGCCAGTATTGCTGGTGCCAGCTTTACCTCAGTGCCACAGTGCCAACCTCTATAACTTTCTTTTCTTGTAGTGTGTGTCTTTGGGAGCAGGTGATGACTGATATAATGAATTTGTAGGTGTTTCCTCCTCTTCACTTTTTAAAAATGTATGAGAAGTTAAACAGGTGTTTTTATCCCTTCCTCTTTTTGTGTAATATGTTCTCAGATAGCCATTCACATAGTCAGTTCCTTGCCACCATTTAGATATCAGTGAAAACGCCTCTCAGGTCCTGTTCGTCATTCTCTTAGCTCTCTCTGTTACTGTTCTCATAGCGGTTTTCACTGCTGCTTTTCTTGTCTTACCCTTTCTTCTATCGTATTATGCCTTCCTCTGTCCATAGATCATAAACTGTCAGAGCAGTGCCTGTTGGTCTGGGTTTTTATGGTGGTTGCATTACGCAGGCATGGTGGACTAAATCATTGGACTCGGAACTGACTCACAATACAAGGAAGGGTAGAAATTGCCAACCTTCTCATTACGTGGTGGATTTCTGTGGTAACTAGCCCCATTCTATTGTTTTGGAGCCAAGATTCACCTCATAGTATAAACTCCAGTGTGATTGTGAAAGAGAAAAAAAAAATGATTCTTTTCTCCTTGTCACTCAGCAAATTCTAAAGAACTCTTTTGCCAGGAACTTGGAAAGTAATAAAAAAGTACTTTCTTATCGTTTCACATTATGACACTACCATAGACGACTGGCATAAGGGCAAATGCAGTGAGTGAGTGCTGACTCTCAGTGATGCCCAGTGTAGCCAGCCTTACCTTCTCCTTCTCTCTTCTCCACCTTTTCCTTTCTCTACCTAATTTTGTTGGTGTTTCCGTTTGCCACACCTTTCTTTAACATTTTCATTTTTGAGTTTTCTGTATCAGATTAGAAGTCTAGGATTATAAGTAACCTGGGTGGCAGCAGGATGAGTGGCATTGGTGCCAACCCCTCATGCTGGAGACTTGTGGCTACCTACCTGCCCTCATTGCCTTTCTTTTTTGTAAAGTTGTCTTTTACAAAAATCAGAGGGATTGCAGGGAAAATTTCAGGATAAAGAACTGTAATAGGACATTCTCCAAAGTATGATATGAAGTGGGAAATAGTGATTTCTTTTGGCTGTGCTGATTCCTGCGTTATGGCCGTGCCTTATGAATTGCATTGGTAATGGAAGAGGAAAGACATTTAATCAGCCTTCATCAGTGAAAAGTATAATCAGAATGACAGAAGGCCTATAGACCCTTTACTATTTAACCTTTAGACTGTTTTCTAAAAAGTTGTCTTAAGAAAGAAATATACTTCATGCTCTTCTTATTAGAGTTTATCTGACATGATATTTGAATTTGGTTTTAAAATTTTCTTTCCAGTTAACAGAAGATGAAATTGCAACTATTCTTAAGTCTACATTGAAAGGGCTAGAATATTTGCATTTTATGAGAAAAATTCACAGAGATATAAAAGCTGGAAATATTCTCCTCAATACAGAAGGACATGCAAAGCTGGCAGATTTTGGAGTAGCTGGTCAGTTAACAGTAAGTTGACTTTAATAATTTGGGGAATATTTTTGGTTGATTTGTTCAGGTATGACTGTGACTAACTTTGGTGAACATGGAAGGAAATGCATCACTTTGTTGTTCTTGTGTAGAAAGCAACCGCAGAACTAAATCTGAGTGTTTATAATTAATGGGATATTGGATAAAGGGGAAGGAATGTCGATTAATTTTATAGTTTTTATTGTTATAATAATATCTTTATTCTTTTTAATGAAGATAGTGAAAGTAAGTTACTTATGGATACATGGCTATTTCATATTTTAAAATTCCTGTATGTATTGTGACAATTTGAAGTCTTAAAGTTAATCTTATATATCATGTGTGGTATTTGAAAGTTTAGTGTACATTTTAAAGGACATGTTAGCATACAAATTTGGTTTGTTTTTTTGTAATAGTATTCATGTCTGCATTATGTTATCACAGGATACAATGGCAAAACGCAATACTGTAATAGGAACTCCATTTTGGATGGCTCCTGAGGTAATTCAAGAAATAGGCTATAATTGTGTGGCTGACATCTGGTCCCTTGGCATTACTTCCATTGAAATGGCTGAAGGAAAACCACCTTATGCAGATATACATCCAATGAGGGTAAGGAAATTACCGTTGGTTAAAAAAGGTTGATTTACATGCTGCAGTTGTTTAATGTCAGTGTAAGGAAACATAAAGCAAGTCAGATCAGCTCACTTGATTTAAATTCTGTGTGATAAATAGTGAAATTGTCTGTCAAAGATTAGTTGCTATTGTTTTTTCTTCCTGCATGTTACTAATTGTGAGAGAAGTGAAGACGTATTTATCTTTACAATCACTGTTTTTCTCCCTGGGAAATTTCCTTGGGAAGTCTATTCTTAAACAGAGGAAAGGGTGGGCAAATCTGTTGATTTTTCAGTTAGCTGAGTTCCCAATGTGAGAGTCAAAGAGTTTGAGGAAACTGCTTCTTACTTTTCTACCCATCATACATCTTCTACGTTTCTGAGTTTTTGCTTATCCTCTTTTTTGGTCTGGGGCTTACAGTAAAAAATTCTCCTTGGTTAATGCTTATTAGAAAAGGGAGTTTTCTTGAACACCTGCTTTTCCAGGATGCATTTTGAGTATGAAGGATATACCTTGCTCATTGACACTTACTTGCCTAGGCTTTCATGTGTGTGTTGATAACAATTTTTAGTTATATTGGAATGTGAATCTCATCACATCATTGCCCTCTAGTGGTTATAGTTACCTAAAGGAGGATATAGAAATGGAAGAGAGAGAGAGAGAGTGTGTGTGTGTGGAAAAGAGAAGGTATCTCCTGTGTTACTGGAGAAGTGTGTGAAATAAATAAATGGGAGTAAAAAGAATACTTTTGAATATCGAGAGAATAAATTAGAATTATGTCCAATATTACAAGATGTTGTGGTTTTCATTTCAGTATAGTAGGTAACTATATTTTATGTTGGAATAGTTTTTAAAAAATCTGTGTGCTCTATTGAGATACTATAAAGAGAGCATTCTTTGGGTAATACAGTTATGTATAACATGAACTATTTTCCTTATGCATATATGTTCTTTTTGCTAGAATTACAAAATTTTTAAATATATTAGTTAAAGTAGCATGAAATATGATTAGCATAAAACAGAAACACACATCCTCATTTTTTCTGATTATTAGGCATCTGTGATATTTTTAGTAAATGCTTGTAGAATGATTCTCAGAGTAGGTGTATTTGAGTTTGAATTAATAAGGTTTACTAAATCAGTTCCAGAGCTGATATTCAACCTTGCATGTTACTATTCTGCTTCTTATGTGTGGCAATCTTACTTTTTCTGACCAGTTTAGACTTGGACCTGTGCTTATCTCTCCAGCAGATAGCAAAGAATTATAGCACGTGACCCTTGCCTTCCAGAATCTTAAAATATTATACGCATCCTAGATAATTTGCTCACTTTTTTTCTGTCAGTGTAAATCTTACCAGTTTTTCATGTCCTAACTCAAATTTTGTTTCTTAAAAACAAAACAAAATAAGAAGAAACTATGTTTCTATATAGAGTCTTTCTTGACAGGCTGTCCAAGTAGATTTTTCTTTTTCTTTGTCATTTGCATATACACTATTTTTGACTCCAGTTCTTTGGATAGTTTATTCAATATTGCCTTGTGCATTTCCAAACACAATGCAGTTTTAAGTTGTTATTTAAAGGATATTATCATTATTTAACATTTTTTTCTCATGTTTATATTGGAAAAATGTTAAGATATGTAGCAAATACAAGCTTTCCAAAGTTTGACTCTTCAACTGAAAGCTCATATTTTATCATTGGCAACAAATACTGTTTTCCTGGATATGACAAGTTCGTTTGGTTCATTTTTTAGAAAATGTCAAAATACCCCAAGTCTGAGTAACCCCTAGGTTTTTTGTTTGTTCTTCTTTCGTGTAAAAATGCTGTGGCTTCAGCAAAGAGCTGCAGCTTGGTTAGCTTGCAGCTCAGACACGCAGGTGTTTTTACTCAAGAAAATCCTTGTTCTCTGATGTGTGCAAAGTGTTTTACGCATCGCTTTCTCCCCACTTTGTCACATACAGAAAGTTAAAAAATATTATTTAGGGATAGAAAGGTTGTAAAATTAGTAATTTTCACTGCTTCGTCAAGGTTTATTCGAGTTTGGAGGGAGGTCAAGGAGGAAGGGTAGATTGAAGAAAGAGCTGTGCAAAAGAGAAGAAAGTTGGAAAGTGAAAGGTCATGACATTATCAATGCTAGTTAGCAGTGCTCACATCTGGACTGGAGAGTGCTGTGGCCTTGGTTTCAGGGTTTGAGCTTTAATGAGGCAGTTTTTGGAAAGATGGAACTACAGGGAATTTAAGGACTGTTTTTGAGGTGATAGTTCAGGTGGTTATCCAAGAATGGGAAACATGCCAGTGAGAGTATAGAGCATAAAGACATATGAAACCATGCTTTCTGTTCTTGCTGCTGAGCAATGTCCTTGGGAACTTTAACAAAATTCTGATACTTGCACCCTACCTTAAATTAGTTAAATTGATGAGACTAGAAAGCAGTTAAATATGTGTGTGTCAGACTGAGAGAGGAAGATAAGGTATGAGAAAGCTTATAGGATATGAAATCTGTGATTACGGGGTGACTATTGATTTTGAAAAAAGATGTATGTAGAGTGAACGGGGCAGTACAGAGTGAGGCATATTCTCTCTGCTGATTCACTCCTCAAATGTTTGCAATGGCTGTGGTTGGGCCAGGCTGAAACCAGGGGCCACTTGGGTGGCAGAGGTTCCAGGACTAGGTCCGTGCTCGTGCTTTCCCGAGCACATTTGCAGGGAGCCCGGGTGAGAGAGGAGAGGCCAGGACCCCAGCTGCTGCTAGGATTTGGGGTGCTGGCCTCATAAACACTGACCTCTAATGTTCTGTCTTTTAATTTATTCTTTTTATTGTGATTATCTTTGTGAGGTGAGTGTTTGAATTTCTCTTTTAATTGGTAGATTAGATGAAATTTATACTTCAAGAATTAGATTGTAAATGAAGATGACACACAGTGATGGATTTGCCCAGACTGTTATGTGAAATATATTTTGTAATCAAAGCTCAATTTATTTTCAAAAGTTAAGTATGAAATCAGTTAAATTAATAAAATTAATTTTTTTTTACTTTATTAGCAAATTTATTTGAGAGAGAGAGACAGACACAGAGAGAGAGACAGAGAGAGACAGAGAGAGAGAGAGGTCTCGTGTGCTGGCTTACTATCCTGATGACTGCATTTTTTGCATCTGGGTGTGGCTGAAGCCAGGAGCCCAGAATTCTGAGCCATAAGCCTCTGTTCCTGGGCTCCCAAGTCTTTGCCCTGTGGCCTCTCTGGTATGCATTAGCAGGAAGCTGGGGTTGGAGCTAGGACGAGAACCCAGGCTTTCTGCTAAGGGATGGAGGCGTGCCAGTCGTGTCTTTTCAGCTATACCAAACACTCACCACTGTTGCCCCCAACTGGTTTAATTTAATTTTAAATTTAATTAACCACAAAACTTCTGTGGAGATCAGTCCTCTCTCTTTCTCAGCTCTGTAGGAAAATAGACTTCATAAACTAAAAAAAATAGAAAATGAATATATTGTGTAATTTTTCTAAATGTCTAGCAGTGTATTCTTCCGACAAATCTGCACTTTTCCCTTTAGATATCACTAAAAACAAATTGATTCTCTGAAGCACATTTAAGTTTTGTTTGTTTTGTTTTACAAGCATTTCTTTTTTGGTTAGCCATTTCTCACTATAGTGATTGAGTAGGGAAAGAACCGTGTTAGACAAAGAAGGTAGACAAGTGTCTGATGATTTCTTGTATTAAATGAAGGAAAGAAAACTCATCTTAAAAATGTTATTCATGTACAATGTAATGCTAAATGTTTATTACTCTTGTAAAGTAAGATGTAAAAGCGGAATATATAGTTTAGAAGATTTGTTTCAAAAGTACTGGAGACAACTTGAGGCACTTAGATGACAATTTTCTGGAAAGTCAATTTAAACGTGACAATGTCTAATACTAAATTAGGAATTACTTTAGGTTAAAAAAGCCTCTCTCTCTTTTTGTATCATTATATCACCTACTTCCAAAGAAAGAAACTGGATATTTTGAAACACAAAAAGTTCATTTGTGCTAAATGATGCTTTGTGCATTATATCTTTGTAGAGGGTGTTGTAGCATAGTGGGTTAGGTTACTGCTTAGGACAACCCATATCACATATTGAAATCCTTACGCTGGTCCTGGCTACTCTGGATTTTGTATCCAGCTTCCTGCTTGTTTTTCCTGGAAGAAAGCAGATAATGGCACAAGTTCTTGTGTTCCAGCCACCCACACTGGGAGCTAGAAGGGAAAAAAAAAAAAAAATCCCTCTTCTTTTCCTCTGGCTTTCAGGTAAATAAAAAAAATCTTTTTTCTTTTCTTTTTTTTTTTTTAGTTCAATTTCTTTCTTGAGGAACCTTTTGCTTAACAAGCTATGTTTTCCAAATAGCCTTTACTAACCACTCCCTTTTTACTTATACTTATTTACTTATATTTGTTATTTGCTTATTAGAAATACTTATTAGAATATAGCATTTTAATAGGTAAAATAAATGCAAGAATTGTATCTGGAGGTTTAAAAACAGACGTTACAAGCAGGTATAGCTGGTGTTCATTCTTTACAACATGTTTAAAAAGCGATGCAGGTGGTAGCCTTCCTGCTTGCAAGTCAAATGGCACTACACTTTTCAGTCAAGTATACTCCTAATCCAGAAGACACAAATATGTAGTTGCTTACATGTCTGTGGGGTAAAACTTGAGCAAACCTCTTAAAAATAATTTTTTAAAATGCAACACTAAAAAAAAAAATACTCCATGATTTCCTGCCTGCTTACTTAGGGTAAAATTTGAGGAATTCTGGAAGACTGGGCTTGGGTGGTGGTACGAATTGAGTAATCGTGTGTGTGCTGCCGCAGCTACACGTTCAACCACAAGTTGAACAATACACCTGTTTTTGCTGGGAGGACTCAGCAGACACATCTCAGTGTGTGTGTATGGGACCGCCCCTTTAGGAGATCCCTCACAGCATTCACTGTGCGTGTACGTGATGGCTTGAAGTGGCATA